CAAAAGTCGGCTCCCTGGTCAGAGCCAAAAGGAGGAGGTGGAAGTGGGGGTTAGGGCTTCGGGGAAGTGGAGAGGTGTATGGCAAAAAGCAGAACTGAGGCTTAGTGCAGTGTAGCTGCCTAGGGACATACAGGCACGCCCCCAGGAGACCCCAGCCCAGAGGTCGGGGAAAGGACAGGCAGAGAAGTCTAGAAAAGCAAAGAAGTTAACGATGTTTGGCCGTCTGGGGACTTATCAGTGCGCCAGGGTCAAGCAAAGGCCGAGGTGACGGCTCCTGCAGCCGCCAGCCAGCCAGGGTGGCGGTGCAGGTGAGGAGGGGCTGCAGCAGGGCCAGCAGGGACACAGTGTGGCAGCTGCCGCCCCCCACTGCCGCCTTTTCAGCGGGAGCCTTTTCAGTGCCCCCAGGGGGAAGGAAAGAGAGGAAGGGGTGGATGGTGAAATATTAATCCCCTTGGGGTCATGGGGAGGGATGATTCTTGGAGGTCACAGATAGTAAGAGAGGGAGGCTGCTACCTCTCCTTTTTCCCTCCATCCTGGGGCTGGCTCCCAACCCCTGGAGCCCCCATGCCTGGCTGGCGAGATGTAGCAAGTTCTCTCCTGGCTCCCCCACCCTGAGAGTCCAGAAAAGTCACTCAGCCTGGTTTGGGGGCAGTCACAGGGCAGGGAATGCCCCAGGCAGGTTCTTGGGTTAGGGATAGGGTGAGCGGGTTTCCGGAAACACCACCTTCTCAGCCCTCAACCTCACTCCTTGGCAAGAACGGGGAGGTGGGAGAGCACCCAGGGCCCCTTTGGTTTAGCACATCCAGGCCCGGTGGCAGCAGGGATGCCTGGGGGCCTGGGAGGCGCTTCTTGGCCCTGCAGGGTGGGGCTTCCAAGACTCCATCTTCTCGCCTCTGCTAAACTCAGGGCCGCGAGGAGGGGGCTGGGCGCGGTGGCTCCCTGCGGTGAATCAGGCTTTGACCTCAGCACCATGCCGGCCTCACTCATCGGGTAAACATCCTCTGCACTTTGGAAACTGGTGGGACGAGAAAGTCGAGAGAGGGAGTGATTTGGAGAGGAGGGGACGTTCAGAAAACCTCCCTGTCTCCTGCCATGAAAGCAGAGGGTCTTCCAAGGGGGCAATGGTGCTCCCAGCTTGAGGCCAAAGAATTAGCATCCTTGGATGCTTTTTCCAAGATTCTACAGAATGGTTTTGGTGGTGGGGGTGGGTGGGTGGAGGGGACTGGTCATAGTGGCGGGAGTGGGAGGGGGCGAAGAAAGAGGGGCTAGGGGCAATTCGTGGATGCCCATTGTGCGGGAGCAAGGTCAGAATGGAGGTGACCACGCTGGCACACGCGGCTCTGTCCCCCCCCCCCCCCCACCGTGTGGCTGCACACTGATCTCCACGCTGGAAATGAATTCTACACACATAGAGGAAGGCCAAGCAGCCGTGGTTGGGCACGGAGGCCCCGGTGGCTTTGGAGTCGCTGACATGACCCTGTCCTCTGGCCTGCCACACGCGGCGCAGCGCGTCGCAGCCTCTGGGATCCTGCTTTCTCATTAGTAAGTGGGGCTCCTATGCCCCTCATGAGGCGGGGCTGGGGATAACGCACTCGGGAAGGGGTTTTGCCCAGCGCTTGCACGGCCCGTGCGCCACGTAAGCAGCTGAGTCGCGCATCTCAGGGGGATCCGCAGGAAGCCCGTGTCTCGCTCCCACCGGAAGCGACCTCACTTCTGCGCCTTAAAGGGGCATCAGAGCGGAAGCTGCTTGGGCGAAGCCGGCAAGGAGCGAGAGGGAACCGCTTGGAAACGGCTGTCCTGGCCCGCCCTGAGTACTTCTTCCAGCCTGGAACAGATCCCTCTGAGACCCCGCTGGGGCGAAGCCGCGACTTGGCCGGGAGGCCTTTGGCCGGCGCTGTCTGCGGGTCCTGGCGCCCGAGCCGGGATCCGCTCCAGCCAGCGAGGCGCAGCACGGGGAAGCGCTCCGGAAGTAGCCGCTGGCCCAAGATCGTGGTCCGCCGAGGCGGGAGAGGCTCTCAGTACAGGGATCAGCCGTTCCCCTTCAGGTCTTTAGGGAATGCGCCTGGGCCGGGGCGGTGTTGACTTCTCTGTGCGTTCAAGCCTGAATCTCTCTCGGAGACCCCACTCCCACTCCACCTGCCGCGAAGGGAAATGCAGGCCGCGCTCCACTCCACTCTCCACCTCCGGGGTCGGGGGGGGGGGAGCCCCTGCAGGCTCTTTGGAAGCAGAACAAATGAAAACTCTGGGGAAAAAACAAAGGTGATCCCTCCTTCCTTCTCCCGTCCATCTTGCTCTTCAAACACAGCGTTTGAGAGCTGATTCCAAGAACTCAGAAACTCTGCTGAGAAGTGGAGACCGAGACCGGAAGGCAGCATCCTATCTGCTGGTTTTTCCTCTCTCAGCAGGAGCGCTGTCCTGCCACTAGACAATATCACCCTCACTGTGCATCTTGCAGGAAATGTAAATTTCCCAGCAGGCCCCAGGGGGTACAAATATCCGCAGGTGCCTTGGGCTCTGGAAGCCCCGAGGGGCTGCGGCTCACAAGGGATCTCTTCAGGCTGTGTCCAGCTGCAACTGTATGATCTCAGGAGACCAGATTCCTCGTGTTTAAATGAAGGTGTGGTGGGGGAGGACTCTTGAAGTACCCACATAATCAAAAATGTCTGTAAATATATTCAATATATTCTCATTTTCCCCGCTGTGTTGGTGGGTTTGGTAGAATTCGAGGTGTCCATAGCTGTTTCCTGGTTTTCAAATGAAAGTGGCTGCTCCCCTCTCTCTGTTGGGTTTCGGCTTCGTAGCTGAAAAATGAGAAGTTCAGTTCAGTTTTGACTGTGGGAACTCCGCCCATGCAGGGACTGGGGATTGACAGGGGTGAGGGAGTATTTGGGGTGCAGAGATGGAAGGTTGGAGGGAATGAGAAACGCAACAGACACTGAATCAGAGACTGGAGACTAAGACTTGGCTCTGTGTCCCTGATGTCCCCAAGCCTCATTTTCCACGTCTGTAAGATGGGGATAGCAGTGATCTCACGGGACTGCTGTGAAAGGTGAACAAAATAATGTATATTAAAATGCTTTATCAATGTCAGCCTTTCTTTGGCCTGGGCCAAACCGAAAGGAGACCACAGCGGGGAGGGCAGGGGTCCAGCTTGGGCCTCAGCCTGGCTACTGGGTGCCCCGGCACATGGGCTTGGCTGGCTCGGTCTCCCCTCCGCCAGTTCCAAGGGGAAGTGAGAATCCATTACAGGGGCCTATCTTAGCCCCTGTTTGCTTTGGCTGCCTTGCGATGGTCTCGCTGGCTTTGCCAACAGGATTTTGGTGTTTGCTCTCCCGCCCTGGCATGGCAGCCCAGGCAGCTGGCATTTTGCTGCCAGTGATGAGGCCAGCCAATGTTGCTCCCGGCCAAAGGAAGCTGTCTCCATGCTGCTCGCTCCTGCTGACTTCCTGCTGCTTCCGCCCCTGTCTCAGGAGGATGGGGTCCCGTGTAATTATCACCGCCATCCTAGGCTTGGCTTGCAAAAGCAGGGCGAGGTGGGGGGGCTCCACAGGCTTTCTCTTTAAAATGGCTGCCCCGGGAGTACATGCCTCCTATGTAAGAGGAATCAGGAAGAAGGCTAGCAGAAGCAACGAGCCAGAGAAAGCAGGGGTCAATCCTAGTCCCTGACAGGCTTCGCTTTGCTCCCCCACATTTTTTTCCTCCTGCTTTCTGGGGATAGCAGTGGGTGCTGGGGAGTGCAGGGAGAGCGGATCTCTTGCTGAAAGTCACCCCAGAGGAATCAAATCAGAGCCCACGGTTTGGGACCACGGTGGTGGGAGCAGGATTAGCCGGTGGTCGTGAGAACAATACATCCTGGAAAAAGTCTCCTCCACTCGCACCCCCAGGCGACTCCCAGAGCCCCCAGCCACCACCCAGCACAGTGCCTGTGCCAGAGACGGGAAGCACCCTGCACACGAAGCACAGGGCACTTTGCCTGCTCGGCTTTCCAAGGCTGCTAGTTAATAACTTAGGAGTCACGGCTGGAGAACACAAAAATAATTGAAAGCAACGCTTACTAAATTGCAGTTTCAAGGTCTTCATCGCCTTCCTAACAATTTGCAAAAGCCATTTTATTGCTTTTTTTAGATTCCTCGAGTTGAAATGCTTCTGTGTGCTGTAATTAAGCTAAGTGACATGCCAGCTGTAAAGACGGAGGTTGTGAATGATTACATTCGGCTCGGCTCCTGTAATCAGACCGCGAGGGTCGGGGGAGGGCGCTTGGAACAGCTGCCAATCTGCCCGCCAGAGTGGGAGGAGCCCTGGCATCTGAAATCACCCATTTAAGACTAGCAAGAGTTACTGGTCTGTTTGAGGAGGGTTGCAGGGTGTCCAGGGTGGAGGAGCCGGATAAATAGCTCCTAAACTTTGCTGTGCATCAGTTCCCCTTGGGGGCGGCTTTTATTGTTTATCATTTTTAAAAACTATTTATTAGAAAGGCAGAGTTAGAAAGAGAGAATTTCCCACCTATTCGTTCATTCCCCAAATGCCTACAACAGCCAGGGCTGGGCCAGGGTGAAGCCAGGAGCCAAGAATTCTATCTGGGTCTCCCACATGGGGACAGACACGTTAACAGGGAGTTAGGTCTGAAACAAAGTAGCTAAAATTGGAACCTGCAGTCTGATATGGGATGTGGGCATTCCAAGCAGTGGCTTAACCTGCTGTGCCATAACACCTGCCCCTCATATTACTTCTTAAAATTCTGTATACAAGGGTGGGTGTTTGTATTCTTGCTAATGACACTCTAGAAGGCAGCAGGTGATGGCTCAAGGAGTCCCTGCCACTCACGTGAGACTTGGACCGAGTTCTGGTTCCCAACTGCATCCTGGCTGTTGCTGGCATTTGGGGGAGTGAACCAGCAGATGGCAGATTAAAAAAATATTTTTTTAAAAAAATTAAAATCCCATTTATGGGGCAGGTGCTTAGCCCAGAGAGTAAACATCTGGATAGGACACCTGCATCTCACATCAAGAGTTCCCGGTTCCTGGTTCTAGTTTCCCGCTAAAGCAGATCCTGGGAGACAGCAGGTGATGTGGGATGTGGTCACTGCGAGCAGCGACTTAACCCCTGCTCCATGCACACCTTTGTATCAGCGCACAACCCTTGACTGGCTGGCGCTGGTGAGGAGGGAGAAAACGGAAGAGATGGAGAGAGATGGAGAGCTTTGAGGAATCCCTGTACCAGCAAGTCTTATATTTTGTCTTGGGCCAGGCTATCATCTATGGCAAATGGTAACCACAGGGGGAAGACTGGCCTGGGGCGGTCTGCTCTGAGCATCAGGAAGGGACTGATGAGTGCGGGTGAAACCTGACCTTTCACTTGTCTGCTTGTGCTAACCAAGGCCTTCATCTTCTGCCATCCAAGCCGGCCTTGACTTATTGAAAAGACCCCTATACCAAGAATCCTTAAGACCAGGCCCAGAAATGTGCACACGTGTGTGCATGTATGTGTGTGTTCACAGCCAGACACAAGAGACTCAAGTCCCACCTCTCCATTTAATACCCTGGATGACAAAAGGCTGTTGACTGAGAGGTATTCTGGGGTTCAAGTATCCCAGAATCCTCTGACATCCTTGAGGCTAGAAATTCCTGGTTCTGGGAACCCACAAGGCAAAGTTGTGTCAATGCGCTGCGAGACAGGTGCTTATCTTCCTCCATGCCTGCTCCACCCTCCCCCACCAAAACTCTCACCAAGGATGCAACACAGGGTGAGCTAGGGAAGCAAAAGTCCTAGGTCATGTTCCTAGAGAGCAGAGAGAGGGACCTGGCAGGATTGGTGCAATGTGATCCCTGGAGTCTCTCAGGCCTGGCACTGGGCAGAGGCAGAGGAGCCACAGTGCTCTGGAGAGGGCCAGCCCAGGCTCGGACGAAGGGTGGCCCAGGCTCAGGAAGAAGGGCAGGGTTCACTGCAGGCCATCTGTCCCCCAGAAATTCTGCAAAACGTCTCCTGATGACTTTCCAATGGATCTGGAGCTCCCTTCTTGGGGGTGTCAGAACGATCTCCCCCACCCCCACCCCACTCTCCCCGAGTCAGGCCCCTGCTGCTGACATTGAACACGGTCACTCATTGCACTGATGTGCACCAGAAGGGAAGGGGCCGCATTTCTGTAGGCTGGCTGCTGACACCTCCCCTCTGACTTCACCGACGAGGCTGAGTCGGGCTGGGACATGTGGGCTCCGAGGTAGCAGCGGTGGCTCTCAGGGCTGGCCAGAGCGGGAAGGGCGTCTGACTGGTATGTGGTGATGTTGCAGCTGCCCCAGTTCTCCTAACTCAGGGCCCTGAGTTCTCCGTCATGCCCAGCCTTGTCCTTTATCTTGAGAGATGAGGACCAACTGGCACAGGCCAGGTGGCGGACGGAGGACTCCGGCTCCTTGGAGTGCCGAGTCCTTCTCTGAAACGCGTCTCCCTGCAGGTTGCTCTACCTGGGGCAGTGCCCTGGAGGATGGCACTGTGGGAGGACCACTGGTAGGGCAACTGGAGTGAGTCCTGGGGCAGCACCCATCGGGCCGTGGAAGTCACAGGCCCATAGCACAGTAAGCTAAGCAAAGGCAAGACTGTCGGCCTCAGTGGTGCTAGTGGGAGGGATTTATCAGACCGGGGTATCTAGATGAGGCAATGAGACTTCCAGTGGATGCCAGAGACGTTGTGGGGAGACAGCGATCACTTCCTAGCAGTAGGAGGTAGGAATGGAAATAATGGCAGCAATCCAGATTCTAGAAAACAGAAAGATTTTTGAAAGATTCCCCTTTAAAATGGCCTCCAGGACAGTAGTCAGTTAAAGCATCATCATCCCCATCCCCCTCGCTGTCTTGTGGGCCAGGAGGTTCTGGGGCGAGTCCCATCCGCAGGCACTAGAAACTCATTTGACCTTCCCAACATTCATCTCCGGGCCTCATCACCCCGAACACTTGACGTGCATCAGTGAAGGGCAGCCAGGACGGCTGGCTTGAGAGAATGGGTGGAAGCGGCAAAGAAGCGAGGTTCCCCCACCTCTCGGAGCCTTGGTTTCCCTATCTGAGCACAGAGAATGCAGTGGCCTGACTGCGGTAACGTCTGCAAAGCTTGCAGTGCACCGCAGGCCAGTGTGTCGTGGTCCAGGCACGTGGGGCTCATCCCCACAACCCCAGTATCCTCATCCCTTTTTTTTTTATAAGATTTATTTATTTATTTGAAAGGCAGAGTTACAGAAAGGCGGGGGGGGGGGGTCTTTCATCCGCTGGTTCACTCCCCAAATGGCTACAACAGCTGGAGCTGAGCTGATCCGAAGCCAGGAACCAGGAGCTTCTTCCAAGTCTCCCACGCTGGTGCAGAGGCCCAAGGACTTGGGCCATCTTCTACTGCTTTCCCAGGCCATAGCAGAGAGCTGGATTGGAAGTGGAGCAGCCAGGTCTCGAACCAGCACCCATATGGGATGCCTGCACTGCAGGTGGCAGCTTTACCCATTAAGCCACAGTGCTGGACCCATGTAGCCTCATCTTTAGCATCATTATCCTGGAGCTGGCAAGCCAGGCACCCTACTGGACAAGGCTTTAATCATCTTTAAAACTCTACGAAATCACTTAACCCCTAGGACTCAGCTGCTGTGCAGACTTACAACACCCTGTGCTTGGCGGCCAGTCCACACTGAAAGTGCACCGAAAACACAGAGGACCCTGTCAGGGCTCTAAGTTCACGCAAAGGGGTACGGAGGAGGAGGGAGCCTGGGCTGTTTGTCCCAAGTCCATCCCTTGTGTAAGGCTGGGCGGGTCCTTGGACATCCTTAGACCTCAGTTTCTTCATCTGCAAAGCTGGGGGAGGGAGCGGTGGTGGCACCTGCCTCGCCGGCCTCTGGGAGCCTGCCTGGGCCTCTGCGCAGCTCATGGCTTCTTCCACTCAGTGATTCTTTCGTATGCACAGCCCCACTCTCGCCCAGCATCCTGCCCCAGCCGCGAAGCCACGTGTGACAGGTGCCCATTCTCCTGGATGTGATCCCCACTCTGAGTTTTCTTTCTCCTGTGTCAGTCCTTTATGGTCTGGAGAGAAGTTTTAGAAGCTGGTTGAGGAGGTCCAGTGATCACCATACTGGATTCCAGGAGGGCTTGTGTGGTCCCATCATCTTTGCTACCTGCAGAAACAGCTTTGTAGGGGCCGACGCTGTGGCTTAGTGGGTAAGGCCGCCACCTGCAGTGCTGGCATCCCATATGGGCACCCGTTTGAGTCCTGCTGCTCCACTTTCCATCAGGCTCCCTGCTAATGGCCTGGGAAAGCAGTGGGAGATGTCCCAAGTATTTGGGCCCCTGCACCCACATGGGAGACCCAAATAAAGCTCCTGGCTCCTGGCTTTGGCATGGCCCAGCCCTGGCCATTGTGGCCATTTGGGGAGTGAACCAAAGGATGGAATATCTCACTTTATTTGTATCTCCCTCTTCTGTAAACTCTGCCTTTCAAACAAATAATTAAATCTTTGAAAAAGAAAGGAAAAAAAAGAAGAGAACAGAAAAGGACAACAACAACAACAAAAAGAACAACAGGGAGAAGCCGCGCCTGATGTCCGAGCTGTTCCCCGGGGGTCAGCTGAGGAGGAAGCATCCTGGTGCCCAGCTCACTACCCCCCCAGCTGGGGCTGGGTGCCTGTCACGTGAGTGCTGGAGCATACAGGGATGGATCAGGGCCTTAGGGGACAGAGGGACTGACAGGACCAGGCCTCATCTTTGGAGAGCCCCAGCTGTGGGATGGGACGCAGCCCCTGCCCTCAGGGAGACCCCAATCTGATGGTGGAGACAGAGTTCATGCTTTAAGGGAGTCTCTCATGGGATTAAAAGGACAAAGAATGCCGGATTGGCCTTTTCTGTTAGGGTTCAGGGCCATACTCAAAGGTCAGCGCAGGAAGCCCTTCGTCATACCCTAATTATCTCCTCTCTTCTTCGTGTGGCTTTGGATTATTCTCATTTCATTCTAACAGTCCTACAGAGTAAAATGCTTATTATAATCCAACACATCACTCTTTTTTTCTTTCTTTAAATAGGAGGGACATCAGTAAGAGTAAGCGGCTGTCTTTACTGAAAATCCCAGGACCAGAAAAGTATGAACCTTGCGCTGGAGACAGCGGGGGTGGGGCGGGGCTGCGGGGCGCTCAGGGAGTGTTGTTCCAGTAACAGAGGGCCTGGGTGTGAATGTGAGATGGTCCTTCCTATCCGCATCCGAGACACCGGTCCAACGATGGGTTCCCAAGGCCCCCTCATGTCAGCATCTCCAGGGGTGTGGCCTGGGAAGCAGTCAGTTTCACAAGGTCGCCCACATCACTCCTACCACCAGGGAACTTTGGGAGACCTGGGATCCAGCTCTTCTCTGAGGGTGCTGAGGGCACTACGAGAGCTTCCTAAAATGCAGATTCCTGGGCCCCCACGCTACTGCAGCAGAATTTCTGGGAGTAGGCCCTGGCACATGCATTTTAACAAGCCCCCCAGGAGATGCCCTGGGGCTGATAATTGCCCACAGGCTGTCCTGCTGGTCACCAGGGCCCCGGGGGTGGTGTCTGGTCACAGCCTGCTTCAGGTGGCAAGGGTGAGGGAGATGACTCGGTGGGCAGCCACCCATGGGCACCGGAGCAGCACAGAGCCCCCTGCTCCATGCAGTGTGACCTTGGGAGCTCCAGATTTTTGTACTTGCCTGTAGGGGGCTTCTTCCCACGTCCTTGGCCCTTCCCTGCTGTGGAATCAAAGCTTCTCCAGTCTCTGGTTCCAGTCTATCTCGGGCTGCCCTGTGCTGTTGCTGTGTCCCCTTCAGTACGTTCCTAAACAGGGCCAGCCTTTGGGGCAGGTGACCCCTGCCTAAGTTAGGTAGATGTGAAAATCAACCACGGTTCTACTTCTGGGACCTGTATTTACGGTGGTCTCAGTGTTTAGCCTTAAAAGGAAGGCAAGGCAAAGGGTGCCTTGCGGTGGGAGTGGATGAGTCCTAGCAGAAACACGCACGGCACGGGCTCATACTTTCACTGAGATGCATCCGAGTTGCCTACTTCCCTGGGTGTCTTCGAGCCTCTACCCATCCTCCCACATTCCTCAACACTTCCCGAGAGGCAGAGTGCCCTGGCCACACATGGGACGGCCTACCTAGTTCCTGTCGCATCCTTGTGGGCCAGAGATCAGGCAGTGACCGTATGCTTCCCGGTCCGGCGTGCACGGGTCCCTCGCAGCACCTGTACGGCTTCCGCCAGGCCTCGGGTCCAGTCGAGCTGGAGTGGACACCACCAGGAGGTCTTTTGGTGATGCCCCCTGGTGGCGAGGGCTCTGCAGGAGGAGGAGGGCAGCGACGTCCGGCTGTTGTGGCCGCCTCTTCTTGCCAGAGCTGCGGCCGCCCGAGCGGCATTCCCTAGGCAGGGAGGGGCGTTCTGGAAAGGCAAAGTCACCGGCATCACCAGAGTGTGCTGCTGACACCCCCCCCCCCCAGATTCCTGGCAGAGGCCACCTCCCACCAGGGGCTCAATGGCCTGAAATCGGCTGGGTCTCTCCGAACCAGCACCAGCCACTGCTCCCTCCAGACTTTCTCTTTCCCATCACCTGGTAAGAACTTTTCTTCCGATTCAGACTAGAGACACCTGAAGGGCTCAGACTACACCTCCACCGGCAGACTGGGGTCTCCCTGAGGGCAGGGACTGTGATGAGGCCTAGACCTTTTGGTTCTTCTCTCCTCTAAGCCCCTGGTCCCTCCGTGTATGCGCCAGCACTCACGCAACCGGGCACCCAGCACCATCTTGGGGTTGTAGTGTGACAGGCACAAGGAGTGCGTCTTCCTCGGCTGATGGGCCCTGGGGAATAGCTCTGACATCAGGTGCCATCTCTCCCTGTCATTCTTCGGCCACATCCAGCTTGGGCTCAGGCTCTCCGAGAAGCTGTGGCATTTTGTCATGGGAGCAGGTTTTGCTATCTTCTCCCAGGTGGGCGGCCGGGGGATCTGCTGCAGCTTGCATTTTTGAAAGGAGACCAGCCTGACCGTGCCTGGGCTGCTGCGCTCAGAGCTGGTGCTCAGGGTCGGGTTTGGCGGAGACTCTGAGGAGGCCGAGACTGGGGTGGTAGATTCTGGGGAGGATTCTACAGAGGCTAAAGGCTGGGAGAGAACAGAGTCCAAACTGAGACTGCGGAAAGTAAAAGGCTTCCTGCACTGTTCTTCACGAAAACAAACAGAAATGGTTACAGCGCTCAGTTAAAAGCTGGGTCCCTCAACAGCTAGAAAGATTTGGGTTACAATAGTTTCCTGACTGGGGTCCGGCACAGTGGCGTAGTGAGCTAAGCCTCTGCCTGCAGCGCCAGCAGCCCATATGGGTGCCGGTTCGTGTCCCAGCTGCTCTTCTTCTGATCCAGCTCTCTGCTGATGGCCTGGGAAAGCAGTGGAAGATGGCTCAAGGGTTTCAGTCCTGCACCCATGTGGGAGACCTGGAAGAAGCTCCTGGCTCCTGGCTTCAGATTGGCTTAGCTCCAGCCATTGTGGCCATCCAGGGAACGAACAAGTGGATGGAAGATCTCTCTGTGTGTGTCTCTCTCTCTGTGTCCATACTTTGCCTTTCAAATAAATAAATTAATTAAAAAAGAGAGAGAGAGAATAGTTTCCTGACCATGTGTTGGTTACACACTAGGGCAGACGATGCTTCCTCTAAAGCTCTTTAAACATGAGGAAGATTGTAAATACCAGAGATCGGTAATCAGGTACTGGAAGTTGGCATTTAGCCTGGCAATTAAGATACCTGTGTCCCACATCCAAATGTCCGGGTTTGTGATCCCCAGCTCGGGCTCCTGACTCCAGATTCCTGGCCGTGCAGATCCAGAGAGCCAGAGGTGATGACCTAAGTGGTTGAGCCCCCGCCACTCACATGCGAGACCCACATGGAGTTCTGGCTCCTGGCGTTAGCCTGGCCCAACTCTGCTGCTGTGGGCGTTTGACGATTGAACAAAGAAACGGGAGGGGTATGTGTTCATGTGTGTGTGTGTGTCTGTCTGCCTCTCAAATAAAAAATAATAAAAACAGTAAAATCAGAAAATAGGTATTATTTTCTGGCAAAGGTGAGAGATACCGCCAGTGTTGCTGAGCACTTAGGAATATAGGAACCCTCGGCTGCTGAGAAAGCAGACCCAGCCATCTAGAGAGACCTGGGGAAATAATATTACAAACACCCTGTGTCCTAGCAATTCTGCTGCTACGGACTCGCTCAGAAAGCCAGGAGCACCAGCGTTCACAGGGCCATTACTCACAAAAGCCGACCCAGGTACCCGCCGACAGTCAAAAGGAGAAACCAGTGTGGTCTGCATGTGCGATGGAGTGTGATTCAGCCTTCGAAAGGAAGGAAATTCTGACCTGGGCTACACCATGAAGGAAACCAGACACAGAAGGACAAATGCGATATGACGTCACTGAATATAAGGCCCCCAGAGTTCCATCCACGGGACAGAAACTAGAATGGAAGTTGCCAGGGGATCTGGGAGGGGAGAATGGAAAGTCATGTTAATGGGTGCGGAGTTTCTGTTCGGGATGAAAAGCCCTGGAAATGGATTGTAGTGACAGCTTCACACATATATGAGAAAATAAAATGATGAGAATCTATGCAGAGAAACAGAAACTATACATATTTCTTAAAGATTTATTTATTTTATTTATTTGAAAGGCAGAGGGACAGAGAGAGGAAGAGACAGAGAAAGAGAGACCTTCATTTCCTGGATGGCTGCAATGGCTGGGGCTGGGCCAGGCTGAAGCCAGGAGCCTGGAGCTCCATCTGGGTCTCCCACATGGGTGACAGGGACCACGCACTTGGGCCATCATCTGCTGCTTTCCCAGGCACATTAACAGGGAGCTGGATTGACAGCGGAGCAGATGGGACTGGAACCAGGACTCTGATATGGGATGCGAGCATTTCAGGCAGTGGCTTAACCCACCGCACCACAATGCCGGCCCCAGGAAACAGAAACTATAAAAAAGAACTGAGGAAAACTTCCATAGGGCTCAAAAGTATAACAACAAATGAAAAATGTACTGAATGGGTTTGATAGCCGGCAAAACAGTCACTGAGTTTGAAGATAGTGCAAAAGAATTGCGCCATCTGAACAGAAGAGACAAAGTCAAAGAAAAATGGATAGAACCTAAGAATGAAGAGTCTGTGAGGGGCTGTAGTGGGTAAAGCCACTGCCTACATAGGCTGGCGCCACGGCTCACTAGGCTAATCCTCCACCTTGCGGTGCCGGCACACCGGGTTCTAGTCCCAGTTGGGGCGCTGGATTCTGTCCCAGTTGCCCCTCTTCCAGGCCAGCTCTCTGCTGTGGCCAGGGAATGCAGTGGAGGATGGCCCAAGTGCTTGGGCCCTGCACCCCATGGGAGACCAGGAAAAGCTCCTGGCTCCTGCCATCGGATCAGCGCGGTGCGCTAGCCACAGCACGCTAGCCGCGGCGGCCATTGGAGGGTGAACCAACAGCAAAAAGGAAGACCTTTCTCTCTGTCTCTCTCTCTCACTGTCTACTCTGCCTGTCAAAAAAAAAAAAAAAAAAAAAAAAAAAAAAAAAGCCACTGCCTATAGTGCCAGAATCCCATATGGGCGCCAGTTTGAGTCCCGGCTGCTCCACTTCTGATCCAGCTCTCTGCTATGGCTTAGGAAAGCTGTAGAAGATGTAGAAGACAGTCGAAGTCCTTGGGCCCCTGCACCCACCTGGGAGACCCAGAAAAAGACCCTAGATCCTGGCTTCAGATTGGCTCAGCTCTTGCCATTGCGGCCATCTGAAGAGTGAACCAGTGGATGGAAGACACCCCTCCCCCCACCTCTGCCTCTCTGTAACTCTGCCTTTCAAATAAAAAAAAAAAGTCTGTGAGACGGAATTATGTGACTTAGTATATATGTTCTTGAAATCTCAGAAGGAGAAGGAAAAAAATAGAAAAAAAATTTTAACAATGACCATAAACTTCTCAAATTTAGTAAAAGATGTCAACTTATAAAACGAGCAATATTAAAAATGCTAAATGGTACACATACAAATAAGATCACATGCAGACATATCATGGTCATTGCTGCAATACAAAGATGACATATTTTATAAAGGGAACAATATTATAAATATAGTTGACTTTTTACTTTAAAAAGTAACGGAAGGGGGCTGGTGCTGTGGCAAAGCCTCCGCCTGCAATGCCAGCAACCCATATGGACACTGGTTCCAGTCTCGGCTGTTCCACTTCCAATCCAACTCTCTGCTATGGCCTGGGGAAAAGTAGCAGAAGATGGCCCAAGTGCTTGAGCCCCTCCACCTGTGTGGGAAACCCAGAAGAAGCTCCTGGTTCCTGGCCTCAGATCTGCCACTGTGGTCATTTGGGGAGTGAACCAGCAGATGGAAGACCCCTCTATCTCTGCCTCTGCCTTTGTGTAACTGCCTTTCAATTAAATAAATAAATCTTTAAAAAAAAAAAAAAAAAGAGGAAGAATGGAGGGTGGTGTAGTGGGTAAAACAGCCGCCTGCAGCAACAGCACCCAACATGAGCACCTGTTCGAGTCCCAGCTGCTCCATTTCTGATCCACTCCCTACTATGGCCTGAGAAAGCAGTGTAAGATGGCACAAGTGCTTGGGTCCCTGCACCCACGCAGGAGACCTGGAGAAACCTCCTGGATCCTGGCTTTGAATTGGCCTAGCTCTGGTGTTTTGGCCATCTGGGGGAGTAAGCCAGCGGTTGGAAGATCTCTCTCTCTGTTTCTCCCCCCCTCTCTCTGTAACTCTGCCTTTCAAATAAATGAGTAATTTTTTTTTTAAAAAAAGGTAATAGAACAACATTTTTAATGTGCTGAAAGGAAAAAAAAAAGGGGTCAACCCAAAATTCTAGGTCCAACAAAAGTATCTTTAAAAATTAAGGCTGGGGGCCGGCGCTGTGGTGTAGCAGGTAAAGCCACCGCCTGCAGGGCTGGCATCCCGTATGGGCACCGGTTCAAGCCCCGGCTGCTCCTCTTCCAATCCAGTTCTCTGCTATGGCCTGTGAAAGCAGTAGAAGATGGCCCAAGTCCTTGGGGCCCTGCATCCATGTGGGAGACCTGGAAGAAGCTCCTGGCTCCTGGCCTCAGATCAGCGCAGCTCCGGCTGTTGCAGCTCTCTGGGGAGTGAATCAGCGGATGGAAGACCTCTCTCTCTCTCTCTCTCTGCCTCTGCGCCTTTCAAATAAATAAATAATTTTTTTAAAAAGTAAGGCTAAAGACATTTTAGATCAACAAAACCAGAAAATTTATGACTACCAGATAGATGTGTATTACAATAAATACTAGAGATTTTCAGATTAAAATTTAACTTAAAATATGTACCCTTTGCTTAATTTTAAAAATATTACTAATCTTAATTCTTTTAAATATTATAATTATTTAAAGTAACATTTATAACATTGAATTGTTGGATTTCTAATCTATGTGAGCACAAAAGAGGGAGTAGGCTTCTTATATTTAAAGTACATTTATTCTACATAAATTCTGATAAGCAGAAGATGAATATTGAAAGCCCTAGAATAACCACTAAAAATAGCAAAGAGTTAGAACTAAAAAGGCAATAGAGGAATTAAGACCAACAAGTATTCAATCTTTCAATTCACCCAAAAGAAGGCAGGAAAACAGGAATGTAGGGCAAAGGCCGGAGCTGGGCTGATCTGAGGCCAGGAGCCAAGAGTTTCTTCCAGGTCTTCCATGTGGGTGCAGGGGCCCAAGCACTTGGGCCATCTTCTACTGCTTTCCCAGGCCATAGCGGAGAGCTGGATCGGAAGAGGAGCAGCCAGGGCACAAACTGGGACCTTTATGGGATTCCGGTGCCACAGGCAGAGGCTTAACCCACTGCACCACAGCTCCGGCCCTCCCGTTCCACTTCTGATCCAGCTCCCTGCTAAAGCCTCTGGAAGGGCAGTGGGGGATGGCCCAGGTGCTTGGGCCCCTGCCACCCATTTAGGAGACCAGAATGGAGCTCCTGGCTTTGGCCTGGCCCAGCTCGAGCTGTTGCGGCCTCTGGGGAGTGCAACAGGGTGCAGGTTCTCCTTTTGTCTCTCCCTTTCTCTCTGTGGCTCTGCCTTTCAAATAAATAAACCTTAAAAAAAAAAAAAAAAAGCAGATGACTTGAAAACAAAAACAAAATTTCAGCCTTTAGTTCAATCATATTAATGATGATATGAAATAAAAATGTGGTAAACACTCCAATTAAAAGGCAGAGGGGGGCCAGCACCATGGCGCAGTAGGTTAATCCTCTGCCTGCGGCACCTGCATCCCATATGGGTGCCAGTTCTAGTCCTGGATGTTCCTCTTCCAGTCCAGCTCTCTGCTGTGGCCTGGGAAAGCAGTAGAAGATGGCTCAAGTCATTGGGTCCCTGCACACCCCGTGGGAGACCCGGAAAAAGCTCCTGGCTCCTGACTTTGGATTGGTGCAGCTCCAGTGTTGTGGCCATTTGGGGGGTGAACCAACGGAAGGAAGACCTTTCTCACTGTCTGTAACTCACTGTCTGTAATTCTACCTCTCAAATAAATAAATAAAATCTTTAAAAAAAAAAAAAAAGGCAGAGGATGGGGAGGATGTCTGGCACATTTGGTGGCTAAGACGAAGCTCACAGCCCACATCAGAGTGCCTGGGACTTGGGCCCAGCTCCCTTCTGATTCCAGCTTCTCCTCCTAATGCACACCCTATGAGGCAGCAGGCGATGGCTCAACTACCCAGATTCCTGCCACCCATGTGGGAGACACAGCCTGAACTCTACTGGCTTCCACTGGCCTATCCCTGGGTCTTGTGGGCATCTGGGGAGTGAGCCAGTGGAGGGAAGATCTCTGTCACTCTGTCTGCCTTTCAAACAAAAATAAATTTAAAAAAAAAAAAAAAAAAAGGAAAGCACAGCCTTGTTTGTCTCGAGAGAGACTAATCACCCAATCACAGTAGAATACACATTCTTTTCATTTACCCCTGGAACATTTACCAAGATAAAACACTTGCAGGGCCATAAAACAAGTCCTGATAAAATTGCAAAAGACCACAATTTTGCAAAGCATGCGCACTAACCACAAGGGAATTAAATAAGATACACAAGAGGAAGATATCTAGAAAATTCCCAAATATTCAAAAGTTAAACAATGCACTTCTAGATAAGGCATGGGTCAAAGAGGAAAGCTCTGGGGAAATACAGTATTTCAAACCAAATGAGAAGTGAAAATGTAATGTACGAAAACTTGTGGCCTGCAAATCAACTTTTTTTTTTTTTTAAAGATTGATTTATTTATTTGAAAGGCAGAGTTACAGAGAGGCAGAGGCAGAGGCAGAGAGAGAGAGAGAGAGAGAGAGATCTTCCATCAACAGGTTCACTTTCTACATGGCCACAATGGCTGGAATTGCGCCAATCCAAAGCCAGGAGCCAGGGTCTTTTTCCAGGTCTCCCACTTGAGTACAGAGACCCAAGGACTTGGGCCATCTTCCATAGCTTTCCCGGGCCATAGGAATGAGCTGGAGCAGCCGGGATTTGAACTGGAGTCCATATGGGATGCTGGTACTGCAGGCAGCTGCTTTATCTGATAAGCCACAGCACTGGCCCCCAAATCAACTACTGTTTACAGGGAAATTTATAGTGCTAAGCACTTATATTATAAAGGGAAATTATTTTTAAATAAATAATCTAATTTTCTACTTTATGAGGCTATAAAAAGTGATTAAAGTTAACAGAAACAAGGAAATAATAAAGATACAGTGGAAATCAATGAAGTAGAAAACAAATCATAGATAAAATGAACAAAGCCTAAAGTTGGTTCCTTAATTAATAAAATCTTCGAGAGTTCCCACGGTCCAAGTGTAGCAGAGAATAGCATCATGTTTTTCAAAGCTTTTAACCATACACCATGCTAGGAAACCCACTGTGCTTCACAAACCAACATAATATACACACACAACTGGAAGAAAGTTTCCAGGGACTGGCACTGTGGCATGGTGGGTAAAGTTGCTGCCTGCAGTGCTAGCATCCCCTATGCCACTGGTTCGAGTCCCAGGTGTTCCACTTCCTATCCATCTCTCTGCTGTGGCTGCTACAGCCATTTGGGGAGTGAACCAGTAGATAGAATCTCTCTCTCTCTCTCTCTGCCTCTGCCTCTCTGTTACTCTGCCTTTCAAATCAATAAATAAATCTTAAAAAAAAAAAAAGGAGCCGGCGCCGCGGCTCACTAGGCTAATCCTCCGCCTTGGAGTCTGGCACACCAGGTTCTAGCCCCGGTCAAGGCACCGGATTCTGTCCTGGTTGCCCCTCTTCCAAGCCAGCTCTCTGCTGCGGCCAGGGAAGGCAGTGGAGGATGGCCCAAGTGCTTGGGCCCTGCACCCCATGGAAGACCAGGATAAGTACCTGGTTCCTGCCACTGGATCAGCACGGTGCACCGGCCGCAGCGCGCTGGCCGCGGCGGCCATTGGAGGGTGAACCAATGGCAAAGGAAGACCTTTCTCTCTGTCTCTCTCTCTCACTGTCCACTCTGCCTGTCAAAATAAAAAAAAAAAGGAAACTTTCTAAAACAACGGTTACTATACAAGAAATGGTGACTCACTTGATAGTTTATGTTCTGTTTCATCCTATTCTTTTAAAAATACCAGTTACACGGGGCTGGCATTATGGCACAGTGGGTTCAGCTATTGCCTGCAATGCCAGTATCCCATAGGAGTACTGCTTTGAGTCCCGGCTGCTTCATTGCTAATGTGGGCTTGGCCAAGCCTTGGCCATTGTGGCCATTTGGGGAGTAAACCAGCATATGGAAGATATCTCTGTCTCTCTCTCTCTAACTCTGCCTTTCAAATAAATAAAACAAATCTTTAAAAATAAACAAAGATTTACTTATCTGAAATGCAGAGAGACAAAAAGAGAGATGGAGAGAGAGATCCTCTGTTTCACTCCCCAAATGGCTGAGTCCATGTTACAACAGAAGTAGAGTCTGGGGTTACATTGATACAGACCAAGGAACCCCAAGGGATGCCAGCAGCCATGAGAACCCAGCAAAAGCCAAGGAAGGATCCTCCCTCTGGAGCCTTCAGATGGACGGTGGCCCTGCTCACACCCCCTTCAGCTCCCAGCCTTAACTGGGAGGCAGTAAATTGTGTTGTCTGAAGTCACCGGGTTGGTGGCACCAGCAGCCCTGGGAAAGCACTGCGGGGGTGACCTGCCTAAGGAGAGGGGCTGCATATGATGGCCTTTCTACAGCTGTCCCGGGGATGAGCACTTGGCACTGCTGAGGATGCCAGCATCCCATACTGGAGTTCCTGGGTTTTGGACCTGGTCCATGGCTTCAGTCTGGTCCATGGTTTCAGACCCAGATGTTGCCAGCATTTGGGGAATGAAGAAGCAGATGGGAGACCTCTCACCCTTTTGGGGAAGGGGAGTAGGCTGTCCCAGACCTGACCTCCTGGCAGGTAAACCATTCCATAACTTGGGTACCACACATGGGAGCTACAGGGTCTTACTCAAAGGGCCACAGAAGGGACCAGAAACCAAGACCCTTATCATCCCCTCCCGGAGCCTGGCCCTCCACTTACTCCAGCGCCAGGGAAAATGCACACAGCAGAGGTAGACTTGGCCTTCTTGGTTCTGGAGCTGGGTTTATGGAGCTCCAGCCCTGAGCAGCTGAGACTTGAATTCCTCAGGTCAGGTACGGAGCTGTAGTGCCGTGTAGGTGCGGACTTGTGGGGAGCAGGGCCAGCTTTCCTCCTGGAAGCCTTCGGGTGGGAGCTGCCATCTGGCTCGTTTTTCTTTAAATCTCTGACACTCAAGAGCAAGTCTGGGATGCAGGACACTAGCGACAATGGCTGGAAGGGCTGGGAAGGAGGAAATCAAACACACAGCCCATGGGGACCCAGCTCTGTCCACTTCCGGATTCACGTGCACCCGGGGTGGGTGCATGGGGGAGAGGAAGGGACACAGTAGGTCTCCAAGTCCACCCTGGGGCTGCAAACCTGGGGTTCCATCATGGACAGCTTCAAGCCACTTGAAACTGCAGCTTTAAAACTATGCATTGCATACTTTATAACAAGAGATTGCATAGATTTTATCCTATGCTTGAAGGGTCCATGACCCTAACCAAGTTTAAAAAAAAAAAAATAGAAAGTTGCTCTAATCCCATCCCTTCCTGTGAGTCTTGGAGGTAAAGAACATGGATTCACAAGTCTGGAATTTTTCCACTGAGCCAGGAGAGAGTGCTGGCCAGAGAAGGGGGAAGTGGAAGACTTAGGTCACAGGATGCCTGAAGAGTGGCCCTGCACACTTTGCACAGAGAGCAGGTGCAGGACTTAGGCGTGGCCAGGCATCCCCCGGTGATGTTCTGAGAGGCCTATCATGCAGAAGCTCTTGGAGGGGCCTGTGGGAGGGGGGCATTCCCACCACGACATTCGTCCTGGGGCCTAGTCCATAAACAGGGACGGCACTCAGGCTCCCAGCACAGCCTGGGGCTGGTACTCCTACTGGAGGGCGAGAAGGATGGGGCAGTGAGAGCCCCCTCTCTGTGGGCTGCTGTGCCCTGGCGCCCTCGGGGCTCCCCGTCCGTGGCCCAGCCCTCCGTGCAGCCCCTCAGTGTGTCTGGGCTCTGAGTAGCGGTCTCCGCAGCACCCCCCGATGGACCGGCCCCAGCAGGGGCAGGGTGCTGGTGTGCGCTCCCCTCCCGTCTGGGTTTACTTGTTTGGAGGCGCAGGTGGTGACCTTGCACTTCTGGGGCTGTGTCTGCCGCCACATCCTGGTGCTCTTGCCTCTCACTCGCTCACCCGCCGACTCCCCCTGCCTGTTGGCCTTCTCTCTCCTTTGAAGGGATTTGCTCTCCTGTTTAATTCTCAGCTCCTGGATCAGCTGCCTGCCGGGTCGAGGAAGAAAGAGTGGCCCCCGGGGTGAGAAACCGGCTGTGAAGGCAGGTGCTGCCCTGGAAGGATGCACGAGACAGACTGGGGAGGCAGAGGACTCCTCCCTTTCTCCCCCCTGCGTCTGCACTGGGGACTGAAGGCCGAGGAGCAGGGCAGGGAGGATGGTCACCCCTCTAACCATGCCTCGTGTGGGGACCAGCATCCAAGCAGAGGTGCACAGCGGCCCTCGTTGCTCCCCAGTCCCTAGTAGGGCAGTGCCCATCTGCAGCAGGTACAGGGAGTTGGTCTGGGGAGAAGGCGAATGCCAGGGGCTCCCACTTGGGACCACCTCCTCTGCGGGGGATCCCTGGCCAGTGGATCCCAGGAGTGGACAAGAGGTGGAATAATCGAGGGAAAATAACTCAGTCTCAAGAGTCCCTCTCCTGTCATTATCAGTGTGACCCCTTCTCTGTTCTGACTTGCACTCCCATCAACCATGGTGATGGATGGAAACCGGGCTCAGGGGGACGTGGGTGGGATCTGGACTCAGGGGATGAGTCCCTTCCAGCTCTTAGATGTTCTACCTGCATCCCTCCATGGGCACCCAGGAGTGAGGCGGGGGTGCCTGTCCCAGGGGTGTGTTCCTGGAAACAGACCCCACCTACTCATTTAATACCCCCCACCCCCAGCTCAGGGCATCTCCGTAACTCTTGCACTTTGCTGGGCCAGAGCAAACGTTCTCCCAGCTGGGGACGGATGCTCAGAGGTGCTCCCGGCAGGTCCGGCACAGTGGCCAGAGCATCCCGCCCACCTCCCACAGGGAGCCTTCCTACCGGGCGTACACCTCCCGGGCCCTGGAAGCAGCCGTGTTCTGGAAGACCGAGCTGTTGTCCTGGAAAAACTTCTCGTACTTCTCCGAATTCAGACTGGGGTAAATCAGCCGGAACCCGCCGTGGTTTTCCTTCTCGTATTTCTCAGTTTTTGCTAACCACATAGCCTGGAAGCCTTGGGCTTCCTCCATCCTGGTGGGAAGCAGAACACAGGATGGCAGGTCAGTGGGTTTCTGTTTGTGGGAGGGACAGCGTCCAGGCTGGATGATGTCATCTCCGGCCAGATGGTGGCCTTGCCCGTAACAGTGGCCGAAGAGTATCCGCTAAGGGAAAGCGTTTTCTGGGGGCAGATTCCAGCCCTCTGGGGACAGCCAGTGTCCCTGTGCAAGGAGCTGGGTAGAAGGCTCTGACACCCACCAGATAATCTCACAGAAATAAAGCTCGTCTCTGCCCCGGCTTCGTCCCTGGAGGCAGAGTGCCGCCGCCTTCCCCTCCCTGCCCTCGCTGCCCTGCTCCGGAGAACGGAGGCTTGTTTTGCCGTTTGGGGGCTCCTTGGGTGAGCTGCAGGAGCTTCCACGAGCTGCGACAGTCCTGTTCTTCTCACAGCCCCCAGGAGAGGCAGAGGTCACAGAGGGAGGGGGAATGACAAGCCCCTAAGTGGCGAGGACACAGGCGGGGGTCTGGTTGAGAGGAGGCCCTTGGCGTGATGGCTGCTCCTTCTCACGGACCTTGGAGGCACAGAGGTGTGCTGGCTGCCTAGGCAGCAGAACCATGGGCTGGGCTCCAGATCCAGGCCTGCACTTACCAGCAAGGTGACTTTTTGCAAGTCAGTTCCCTTTCAGGAAGTCACCTGGGCTTTGAGACCGAGAACACACGGCACCCCATCCCACCTGCCTCCTGTTCTCCTTTTAGGAGAGACAGTGCCCACGAGACAGCAGCCTGGTGTTGCCAGGAGCAGGGAAGCGCGGGGCCGGGCCGTGTGGCTGCACCTGCTCTCCCGTGAGCGGCACTGCTGCAGGAAGCGGCCCCGCAGCCTCTCCTCCTCCAGCACTCTCTTTTTGTCACAGCTTCCCAGGTTGATCAGGACCAGGGTGTCGTACAGCAGACTGTCCTTCACGTCTCTGTCCAGCCTCGAGTCGGTGGAGAAGCTTGGAGAGTGGTTGACCTGTGAGAGGGAGATGGCAGCTGGGCACAGCCAGGGCGGTCCACAGCGGATACAGTGGGGGAAGCCAAGGCGCCACCTCCACACTCCTATCAAAGCCCACCTCGGGGTCCAGCTCGTGTCTGGGGTCTGGGGGGACCAGGCATGCGGCAAGCAAGGGTCTGGACCAGAGTACTGCCTCTGGTCTAACCAGTTTCCCCCCAAGTCCTTTCTTCCTGGGCAGCCCACTACTTGGTTTGCCCCCATGCAGGGCATGTGTGGTCTCCCATGTGCACGGTGCCTTCCACAGAGCAGCACGGGGCAGGGTGAGCCTGCAGGCAGGGAGCAGAAAGGAGTGACCGATGTGTGCTGCCTCCTGGTCAGGGTTGAGGGGCATCAGGTGGGGGAAGGGAGAGGACCCATTCCTGCCCCCAGAAAAGTCCCTATCATTCAGGGACAATTTGCTGATTTCTAGTAGTTTCCAAAGGCTCACTCCTGGTGGCTTCTTCTGCTCTTCAGGGATGCGCTCTCAACAGCCGTCTCCCCCTTCCCACCAGGCACAGGAGCACGGGTTGGGGAGTGGAGCACGGGGTGGGCCACAGGAAGTTCATGTACAGTTCTGGGCTGTTCACACCAGAGCCTGACTCTGTGGCTCTGCCACGAGCACCTCTGATCTCACCTTGCACCCCTTGCTCTTCAAGGCGGTGGCCACTCGAACACTCCTGAGCCCCAGCCCAACCTGGAAGAGAGGCAGCCCCACTCCCCCGGGCATGGGGGAGACAGGAGGCGGCTCCCTCACCCATTTCCACGGAAGCAAATCCTGCTGAACCTTGGATGTGGGGCGTCCAGGCCCCTGCAAGACAGGCATGGTAGCTTCCACTTGACACTGGGCAGTGTCAACCCAGCTTTGAGCAAAAACACCCGCTTTGTGGGAGATGTCTGTATTACAAAAGGGAGTGCCATCCTTACAGTCGCTGGGTGCCCAGGATCGGCGCTTCCTGGTCTCTGTAGACCTCAAGGCACAAAGGAATTCTCCAATTCCCAGCCATCTACCCCCCTCTGGTGGCCACTTCTCAGCTAGGCGAGAAGCCCCAGGCAGCAAGTGCGGGAGGCAGAAGTTGATTCCGACAGGCCAGGTGAGCCCTGGGGGCGGAGTCCGCGGCCGCAGGGGCCGACCTCGGGCACACCTCCCTACCTCCAGCAGCCAGGGCTTGAGTTTGTGGTCCAAGAGGACGTCGAAGCCCAGGATCTCAAAGCAGGCGCTGTTGAGCGTGTGGTTGGGGAAGCAGGTGTGGTAGTTGTGCTTGATGATGGGGTGGGCGGAGATGATGGTCTTGATGATCATGTCCTCGATGTCCTCCCAGATCTGCTTCAGGTCGTGGCCGCGGCTCTCCATGTACTCGTTGAAGGTGGAGAGCTTCCTGGGAGGGAGTCACAGGCCATGAGACGGGGCAGCCGGCCCGTGTCAGCCAAGGCCACGGCACTGGGAACCAGAAACTTCTAAAGAGAAGCAGGAGCGAGGGCAACGTGCACGGGGCTGTGTTGGTGCTGGGGAGGCCTGCAGGAGTCTCAGGGCTGCACCCTGTAGGCCTGGGGTGGGCGCAGACAGGGCCTGGGCACTTCCGCTAGGACCCATAAACACCTGCGGGCTGGGGGAGGGCTCACGGGGAGGAAAACCGTGGCAATGGTTTCTCAGCCTTTGGTGTTGGCAGAAGTACCTGGGGAGCCTTCTAAGCACTCTGATCCCCGAGTCCCACCTCAGCCATTGAGGGGACTCTGGGGTCGTCAAAGACACGGAAATCTTGTTTGCAGGCTGCCCACGGGGAGCAGGCGGCCCCAGGACATGTCCATAGATAGGGTCGCCAATGGTCCCAGGCAAACTGGACCTTCCCAATTTTAGAACGGAAAGCTGAGACGACGCCTCCTGCAGGCACACAGAGAAGGTGCAGGGGAGTGAAGGGCAGAGAGGGGACTGAAGAAGACAAGAGACATGGCTCACCCAGGCGCCCCCCAAAGCTTACCCAACCCCATGCAGAGGGTCAGATGGGAGGCAGCAGTTTGGCCAGCCGGTGAGCATCTGTGAGGGGGCCTGCTGTGCGTGCAAAGCTTCCTGCACAGAGGGCTCACCAGGAAACTGGTGTCGTGGGAAGTCTAAGAACCATCTGGGAGGGAACTCACATCCAGACAACTAAAGATGCATTTACATCAAGACAGATCAGCAAAGGCCGCTCCACATGGGGGCCACCTCCTCTCGCTGCCCCTGTTGCTCGAAGCCAAGCCTTTCAAGTGGGAAAAGAGCACCGCCTCTGCCTAATAGGGAAATAAATTTTCCCAGAATAGATTATACACTTCTCCAACTTCTTACGACCGACGTTACCAAAGATAACACGACCTTTAGATGAGTCAGGGCCCGCTGCAGAGAACATACTGGGTTGTGTAACTTCATACGGGCCCGTGCTCAGTCTCAGTCTGATTTAACGCCAGGCTGGCACACTGAACAGTGACGCCGAGCCGGTGTCTGCCCCCGAAGCCTGCCAGGGTTTCAGCTTTTCTGTCTCCTTCAGTGTGACTGGGGCAGTCCTCCCACGGAGCCTGGGGTGGACTGGCAAGGCAACTGCAAGGCAGGTGTGAGGGGCAGAGGGTCTCAAAAGTTCAGGAAGAATTCAGAGAGAGGAAAACAGATGGGGTGTAGGGGGGAGGTGGGGGGAGGAAGTAGAGCTCTGCCTGGCAGCAGGGGAGACCCCCTGAAGTTCAAGGTGGCATTCTAACCCTCAAGGAGCTTAAGGACCCTGGAACGGGCTGAGACTTGAACGCGTCCCCCCACAAGTTCACATATGGGAAACCTGGTCCCCAGCGGGGCAGTTGAGGCGGGGGGGGGACCTTTGGGAAGAGATTTGGCGGTGACAGCTATGCTCCAAGAGAAGACGGGTCTTCCCCATACTGCTGGTTATGCGGCTGAACCAGACCCTGGAACCCGACGGCGGCGGGCAGCGCAGAAGCTTAGTGAGACAGGAGAAAGACCTCTCAGGATGCGCATCCACATTTTTTGGGTTGGAATTGAGCAAAAGCAGGGAGGTGGGAACCAGGGAGGCCCGGGCAAAGAAAGCACCCCGGTGGAACACGCTGGGCTGCATGGCGGGGGCCATCTGGCATCGTGCTGAGGGGCACAGACTCAGCCAGCCTGGGTTCACCTCCCAGCTGCGTGACCGCCTGTCCACACCTCAGTTCCCAAACATGCAGATCGAGGGTGACGATAACAGCGCCTTCCTGGGACTGCTGTGAGGACTGAGCTGGGTGAGGTATGCAGACTGCGCCCAACAAGTTAAGCTGGCTGTTAGGGTAGTAGTAACGATAGTGGAAATGACAGTAGCTTGGGCAAAGGAGCTTGAACTTGATGCTCAGACACCGGAGGGCTGCACTGGTCCCCTGAGAGTGAAGCGATGAGTGCGTGGGATGCAGGGCACCAGCAGGGCCTGCTTGCATGGGGGTTACGGCTTCCACAGTCCCTTCGTACACGGCATCTCGCGAGACTCCAGCATATCCGTGAGGCAGGCCAGCCGGTGCTCACGTTTTATTGTCTCATTTTAGAGATGAAAAACTGGAGACACGGAGAAGTGAAGCTGCAGTGCCCGCAGCTAGGGAGAGGGTAGGGGAGGCCGATGCGGCCGCCCGGGGCCTGGGTCTGAAGCAGAGGCCTGGCCGATGGAAGGGAAGGGCTGTGGGGGCCTTTACAGGAGGAGCCTGCAGGGCCTGAGGAGTGGCTGCAAGAGGGAACGTGCATGGCGGTACCAAGCTCCCAGTCCCGCAGAGCAGATGGCAGAGTCGGGCAGGTGGGGCAGGAAGGGCAGGGGCAGAGGCAGGGAGGATGCATCCACGCTGGGAATGACTGAGCCGCAGGCACCAGGGACACAGACATCCAAGGGCAACTGAGGCCAGATGGGCCTGGAGCCCAGAGGAGAGGGGCTGAGCCAAGGGAGGGCAGGGCTGAGGCCGTGGGAGCAGAAGCCGCTCCAGCAGGGAGGGTGGATGGAGAAGAGCAGGGGAAGGGTGGGGGGGAGGGGAAGGGGGCAAGTGTGGAGGGCGGCAGAACACCACCAGAAGTCTGCACCCTCGCCTCGGTCTGGCAGCCCACAACACACCCCTCCGCGGGGCCTGAAGCCAGTTGTTGGAAGAGGAGGGATTTGAGGGCCCTTCCATCCCACGCCCTTAGAGTCAGCAGAAATGACAGTGGGCACCAGCACGGGTTGTGCGGCCACCACAGGTCACTCGAGCCTCACGGGGACCCTGTGAAGTGGGCAGGGCAGGTCCTCTCCTTGCCCTCATCTTACCCAGGAATGGAGGCCGGGGGAACCCATGGAACCTGTCCAAGCGGACTCAGCTGGCAGGTGTCATGGCGGGGACAAGAACCAGCCCTCCCTGAGCACAGAAGCTCAGCACGCGCCAATGCCAGGGGCTCAGGGTGGGGTCCGCACTCCAGGTCGGGGGTGGAGGAGGTGGGAGAACTTGGTGGCAAAAGGGGTGGAGCTGGCATCCTCCAGGCCTTCACACACACCCCACACGCGGGCTTAACCTGAGGATTTCCCACGAGCCTTTTTGAATTCTGCACTGGGTGCATGATGAATGCCATCTGCCCGTCACACTCTGAAGCCAGACCCACTGCCTGCACTGCCGGCCCGTCGGTCCTTGGTGCAGCACAGACAGTGAGCTCCTCCACTCATTCGAGAAGCCACAGCCGTAAGACTCACTTAAAGTCCCCCAGGTGGTTTTCCTCATCCATCAAATGGAGATGCCTGCCCCCACAGCTCTGCACCCCTCAGGGCAGATGATAATGCTCTTGCCTTACTGTTGCTGTGAAAATTCAACTATAACAAAATGCATAGCAGTTAAAGTGCCACTTGAGACACCTCCCCCCCCCCCCCCCATATCAGAGTGCCTGGGCTGCATCCCTGGTGCTGGCTCCTGACTCCACACCCTGGGAGGCGGTGGTGACGGCTCAAGTGATTGGGTTCCTGACACCCAGGTGGGAGATGTGGATTCAGCTCCTGGCTCCTGGCTTCAGCCTGGTCCAATCCTGACCGCTGTGGGCATTTGGGGAGTGAACCAGTGGATGGGGGCATCCTCTCTCCCTCTCTCCAATAAATGCTTTTGAAAATGCAGACAAAGCACCAGACCCAGTCAACAACGCACCCCAGGTGCCCTGAAATGCTTGCTCTTTCCCCTTCACATTTGTATTCCTCAGTCCCCGTTTTTCCTAACCCTCAAACAGACCCGACTAGACCACAACAAGAATGGTGAAGCTGTGAGTTCCTCTCGCCCCTCCCCTGCTTTCTGGGGAATCCAAAGCCAGCTAGCTCTGTTGCAGCAACACCCAGGGGAGCCACAGGCCAGGAACACGGGGCGTGCAAGTCCTGCTCTGGGGCAGGGCTGAAGAGGGAGAAGGGCCGGGTGCAGTCAGGGTCTGTGTTGCTGTGTGTATGGTGCTGGGGTAACCGGTCCTGTTTATCTCCCTTCCTCCCAGCCTCCCAGGGTTTACTACGTGGCCTTCTTGTAATGATTAACAGCCCCAGGGGCATAGGAGTCTCTTCTGGATTGAGATGCAAGCAGTTATTTTCTGGGCCCACCCGTGACCCAAGATGGTGACACTGACAGGGTCTGGGCAGGCCGGAGGGCAGCTCCGAGGGTGGCAGGGACTTGAAAGGGCAGTGAAGCCGCTTCCTTACCTCTTGCTGCCTGAGTGCGCGTCTTGAATGAAGTTGGAACTGTGCTTGTTGATGGAATAGTTAGTCAGGTGCATGCAGATGTCATCCTGGGGAGAGAGACACCAGGGTGTGGGGCCAGGCCCAGAGCTTGCCTTCCCCTGCCCATGGCCCCTTGGACCAAACCCAGGAAGTCGGAAGGGCTCTCCTACAACCCCTCCTGGGGCTGGTCAGTGCCCCGCCTGCGGGAAACCTGTGGAGTCCCTGGGGCCAGAGTGGAGAGAATTATGGGATGGCTCACCCAGGGCTGTTTCCCCTTGGGCACCCCTGAACTGGGGCCTAGTGATAGTACCAGGCAGATCTGGCCATGAGTGCCAGACTCGCCTCTTCCTGTCTGTATGACCTTGGACGAGTCCCCCCACCCTCTGGGTTTTAGTCTCCTCTGCAGGATGGGGACAAATACTCCCCACCCCTGGGGGCTTCTCCTGGAAGGACTGAATGAAAGGACCCTCGCAGCCTGGCAGAGGGCAAGACGCCCACCAGTCTTGAGAACGTGCCCAGGGATTTGGGTTGCGCTGAGGGGCTGGGGTGAGGCGGCGTCTCCCCTGAGCTCACCAGGTTCTCTGTGCAGGGGTGAGAGTAGCAGCTGGTGGCGAAGCGAGCCAGCCCTTCGTTGTACACAAAAACCCTGAGAGGGTCACAGGATGTTATCAGCACGTAGATGCGCAGGTCAAACTTGAACCCGTCGATGATAAAGGGCTGGGAGGGGGAAACCGAAGTCACATAAGCGACAGAGGGGAGCCTCATGCTGGCAAATCACTGCCCCACCCCCACCCCGGGGTCAGCGCCGATACTGCCTACGGTTGGAGCCCACAAGCTTGCCAGGATTTGGTGGGGTGGGGCCTAGGGGTGCGGATAAGAGACTGGCACTCAGGAACCCAATGTGTGACCTTGGGGAGGTCACCAAGCCGCACTGTGCTTTGGTTTCCCGATCTGTCAAATGACACAGGGAGCCCACTCCAAGAGACATCTTGGAGATTACACAAAGTCATAGTAAAAAGTCCTCCAAGGAAAGGACAGGGTGGCCGTGCAGGGTTACATTACACCTGCAGCTCTGGCCCCTCCCACTGTGACCTCTGAGCGCTAGGCATGGAGGAACTCCAGTCTCTTCTGCCCCAAGAGAGCTGCTCCCCCCACCCCCACCCCACCAAGCCCAAGGCACTCTCCTGGCTCTCATCCGTCAGATGAAAGGGGCCAGATCAAGTGATCAGGGTGCCAGGGCGGAGGCCACTCTGGCCCAGGTCCATGGCAGCACCCCTGGTCAGAAGGGCTTGGTCTGCCAAAGTCCAAGGCAGAGGGCAGCCTGGTGTCCCCCCCACCTCCGCCCTCCTTGGCCTTGCTCCACCTTCGGTCCAGTGGCGCTAGCGCCTGACTTGCAGTGAGCAGCAGATAAAACATCGCGATGAGGAAGCACCTTGGAAATATAGAGCTGGCAGATCATATCCTCCCCTGGCTTGATGTCTTTCACCGTCCGCGTGACGAAGATCCCACGCCCTTGGCAGCCCGAGTCTGGCTTGCAGATGAACGTCTTATTCTTCCTTAGCCTGCTATAGGCCTGCAGGTCTCCCCAGCTGCCGGAGGAAGGAGGGAACGAGATGGAGACCTTTCGCTGGGGAGCGATGAGAGAAGGCTAGTTCTTCTTTCTTATTTATTTATTGGAGAGGCAAGGAGACAGAGAAAGTGACAGAGAGAGCAAGCTCCCACCTACTGGTTCACCCCTCCAAAAGCCCAAAAGAGGTGGGCCAGGGCCAGGGCCAGGGCCAGGATCTGGGAGCACAACCCAGGTCTCCCTCCTATGCAGGTGGCGGGAATCCCATTGCTCTAGCCATCGTTGCTGCCTCCCAGAGTCTGCATTAGCAGGAAAGTGGAGTCCGAAACAGAGCTGAGTATCAAACCCAGGTACTCTGTTGTGGGACATGAGCGTTTTTTTTGTTTTTGTTTTTGTTTTGTTTTGTTTTGTTTTGTTTTTACAGGCAGAATGGACAGTGAGAGAGAGAGACAGAGAGAAAGGTCTTCCTTTACTATTGGTTCACCCTCCAATGGCCGCCGCGGCCGGCGCGCTGCGCTGATCCGATGGCAGAAGCCAGGTGCTTCTCCTGGTCTCCCATGGGGTGCAGGGCCCAAGCACTTAGGCCATCCTCCACTGCACTCCCTGGCCACAGCAGAGAGCTGGCCTGGAAGAGGGGCAACCAGGACAGAATCCGGCGCCCTGACCGGGACTAGAACCCGGTGTGCCAGCACTGCAAGGCAGAGGATTAGCCTAGTGAGCCACAGCGCCAGCAACATGGGCGTCTTGACCCCCTAAGCCAAATGCCTGCAACAAGGCTAGCCTGTGACAAAGAAGAAATGAAAAACAATGGAAAGCCCTGGTGTTGACAGACGTATGTCCAGAGGTCTGCCAATGTGAGAGACCACAGGATATATGCAAAGGGGAGAGTATGGGTTTTGGAGGAGTTCAGGTCCAGACTTAAACCCAGGCACCACAACCTCACAGCTGTGAAATGCTGTGCCAGGACCTGACTTCTCTAAGCCTTGACTTCGTGTGGGCGAGGAAACCCATTTCATAGGCTGGTTAAAGCAGGAACACGCAAATGTGTGCCCCAGAGAGGTGGCTGTGACCTGGAGTTCGCGGGAGACCCGGGGCTCATCGTGGCCCCGTATCTATCAATCTCTTACTGGCTCTGGGCTCTGGGGTTGCAGCTGTGACCCCTCACTGAGCCAGAGTAGGGGAGCACAAGTGATGTGTTTGAAGGTACTTTGAAGAAAAAATATTCAGAAGGCAGGCAGGCGGGAGGGACCAAGTGAACAGACGATGTGTCTCGGTCTTGCCATACTTCTGGTTCTGGGTTTTAACTCGAAAGAACCTTGTGACTGTTGCAAAAGTCACTGAACTGCGATGTCACACAGTGACCGTGAATCTGGAGCCTCCTCTGACTGAGTGGCAAACACTCACCCTTCTAAGTTGCTGCTGAGTCCTGACAGTTGTTCCAGACACAGTAAGGAGAGGCTAGGGCCCCGGAAGCCCCAGGTGGAAAGGGAAGGGCGGGAGACCGCCGGTGCCCTGGCCGTGGAGTGTACTCCTGCCAGTGTGATCTCTCTGACGCCCTGCACCTGTCTCATCCGCCAGACGGTACCCTGAGTCGTGTTCGTGTCGTGTCGCATTTCTCCTGCTTCCGGGTGGCGTGGCCCAGAGCATTTCACACACCAGGAACCAATGTCCACGTTTGAAGAGGACAACAGGAGTCCAGGGGAGGGGAAGGGCTGACTGCTCTGTCATTTCTGCCCACTCCTCACCTGGGTGCTAAGCACCGCCCAGCTCTCTCTGAGGGCAACACGTGGTCCTTCAAAATTCAGAAATTGCACGGTTGAATGGTTGGAACAAGTTCAAAATCAACAGCTTTCAGGGTCAGAGCAAACTCACATCCCAACTGCAGGTACGGGCTCCAGGGCACCCAGCCCCTAGCTGTCATCTAATTTTATAGGTAGAAGCTTGTGTTTTCTCAACCTTGGACACACCCTGTATCCCTTCTCTTCCTGAACTTGGAGGGGAGAGACGGGAGACCTTGTGGGCAGGCAAAGTTGCAACCAAGGCAGACTAAGGGGGAGGAGGGGGTGGCACTCACTCAGCAGGGAGGCACCAGGTCTTGGGGAAAAAGTGGAAATCTTTAGGGAACATCTTCAGCATGCGGCTCATATTCCTGGCCAGCAAGTCCTTGCGGCAGATTTCGCTCATCCCAGGAAAGTGGTTGATTTTCTGCCAGGAAGGAAGCCAGAATTCACGAACTGCGGTTGGGGGTGGGGATGGGAGTGGGTAGGTGGAGGGGAGGTGGGGGGTCTGCTGGCGAGCTCCCCCTGGGGGCCCCCTGAGCAGGGGGGCTACCTGGTAGCTCTTCATTTCCATCACCCTCTCCAGCGGCATGACGTAGTCTGTCCAGTAGAGGGTCCAGTCCTCGTTTGCGCCCCCCTCCTGGAGGCCATACTCCCGCGCAGCCCTGCGCACTGCAGTGGGGTGGGAGAGGGGGCGGCCTGTTAGCTCAGGAGGTGGGCGAGGAGCGTGGAGTGTGAGGGGCCTGTCTAGGGGCTGCCAGACCAAAACCTGAAGTGAGAGGAGCGGGTCCCCTGGCTTCCTTCCAAACACCAAGCCCTGCAGGTTCCAGGAATACAAACCAACCCTTCACATCAGCCCGCACCAAGCTGAATGAGTGGAGGCAAACGGGCAGCAAAACGACTCGACAGCGGATGTCAAAGTCACAGCTACGAGTTGCCCTCACATTCTCCTTGCCCCGCCCGTCCCGTTAGCGTGAGGAGCTGGGAGCTGGCAGACGCCTTCGAGGGCTGGAAAGGGAGAGGTGTCGGCAGTCACCTGCCGAGGACAAGACCAGCCTCAGGTGTTCGGATTTGAACTTCAAACCCAACAACCGCAACGCTGCGCTCTGTGGTTCAGCCATGGCCTGTGCTCTAAAGCATAGCCGCTGACCGCAGCAAGATTTGTCTCTTCTGGGACTCAATCCTCAGACCACGCGATCAGACTTATGGGAAGTTGAAGTGGACAGCGCTGCAGTCTTGGGAAGAGACGCCCGTCTTCCCCAGACGGTTCACTGGGCGGGGAGGACCAGCTCTCTGCATCCTCAGTGTCGCCCAAGAGCACCCCCCCTCCCCAGCCCTCCAGGAGAACCCACTGGATCCCCATCGCAGATCCCATCAACACAGAGGCTCACCGCTCTCATACCGGCAGCTGGATAGATTGATCACCAATCATCTGGAAAAGAGAACAAGGAAAGCAAGACAGAGACAGACACCCTTGCCGTGGCACCTGTGCCCATGGGGCTGGGTGAAGCCCAACCTGCCCGTGCCCTGAGGTCACAGATTCAAATGCTGGCGGAGGGAGAGAAAATACGGGCTCGGGACACATCACTCTGCCCACGAGGCAGAAATTCCGCGGCACACTCATAGCGAATTTTGCTTGCAGCTTCATATGAACATCATTGCCTCAATCCCTGTACTCCAGTGGTTCATCTGGGACAGAAAGTGGACATCTTATCTCCTTCTCCTTCCCCCATCGAGGGCAGCTGTGAGTTAGGAACTGGACAAGTTTCCAGTACCAGTCAGCCCAAGGAGCGAGTCCTGGCAGAACAGCAAACAAGAACTGAACGGACAAGCTGTAGCCAGATGGGGATAAATCATTCTGGGTCTGGACTATCTGAAGCCCCAGGACAAAGCAGCACACTCTGAGTTGAAATCTTTCTCAGTCCTATGTCAGGAAGTCTCACCGCTTTTGTTTTTACAGACCCGTCCTGAATGCAGAACAGGACAAAGTGTGGGGCTAGGGTGCACGCGGCACTGCTTGATTCTCTAGAACACATCACCAGAAGCAGCTTCTTTTTTTGATGAACGTCCCGAACGGGATGTGGCGTTGACAATGTCCGCACCGGGTTTGTTTTTGCCCTCTGATTGCCCGCCAAGGCTCCCTTTCCTGCCATCCCCTCCCGTGCTTGCCGACACGGCTCCCCATCTTTCAATCCTCACCTCCTCTTCTTCTTTTTCTTCTTCTTCCTGCCTTGCTGCTGGGCACTCCGAGGCCCCCTTTTCGCCCCAGCGTCCTCTCTCACAAGAGCCAGGCTGACGACTTCTTTAGGGTCTTCCATGGAATTGTCCTCTCTCGGTTCAGAATCTATCGGTTCCTCCCCTTCAGGAGTCAGGCCGTGCAGTGTCTCCCCGGCCAGGGCACAGGCCCTGGGGAAATAGGAGCTCCCCTGGAGAGGGCAGAGGGAGCCGCAGTTACGGGGATCAACCTGTAGGGGGACCCCCTCCCTCGTTCATGTGTGTGGTGAACCAGAGTTCCGACACCAAGCCAAAGATCGCAGTTGAGAAACCGCCACCCTACCTCCATGGTTCCTGCAAGCTCCAGGAAGGAGGTGATTTTTGTCTTTTGCCATTGACTATGACCTTGGGGACTCCCTCAGCCAATCCTGGCCCTGGTTTTTCCCTCCTGGGGTTTTCAGGAGCAGGCTGGGATGATGAGTGTGGCATCCCTGGTAAACAATCTTATTGTTCAGGTGAGTGAGTGTCTGGAGAGAGGGCCAGTGAGCAGTGGAGCCAAGGGAGCAGTCCCAGAGGGGCAGGTGGAGGCGCTCTGAGGTCTGTTAACTGTTTCAGTGCCACAACAAACCTCCCACAGAGCAACTTGCTGGCTGCCATGGGGGCCTGGGTCCTGCAGAGAGTACAGGACAGGCCTGTGGACGATTAAACAGGAGGACTCAAGCCCAGGGCCAGTTGCAGACCTTCCGAGACCCCAGCCACAGAAATTGCTGTCATGTCTCTTTCATCATCTACTCCAAAATAAAAAAACAAGACCAAACTGTGAAACACATGGAAGGAAGAAGTCTGGCAAAGTTCACATACCCCACAGCCCCACGGGAATGGATGCTTGCTGGCAATTTCAAATACAAATTAAAAAAAAAAAAAAGATGTTAAAGTGAAAGGTTAGAGATTGGGTTATAAAAGCTACAAGTTAGTTAGGTGGGGGAATTAGTCCTAACATTCAATAGCACAGTTGGATAGCTACAGTCTGTATTAACTTATCATACCTGTCAAAAGAGCTACAGGAGAAGAGTTCAAAGGTTCCCAACACATAGAAACAATGTTTGAGGAGAGAGAAATGCTAATTATCCTTTGATCGGTATACATTATATACATACGTCAAATTATAATACTGTTTCCCAAAAAATAAGTGTAAATATTATACAATAATTAAAATATAAGATCCGGGACAGGCATTTGGCCTAGAGGTCGAGGCTGAATACGATGCCTGCTGCAGCTCCTGACTCCAGCTTCCTGCTAGCGCAGACGCTGGGAGGCGGCAAAGACAGCTCCAGTAGCTGGGTCCCTGCCACCCACGTGGAGACCTGGATGGCGTTCCCAGCTCCCGGCTTGAGCCTGCCCAGCCCTAGCTGTTGTGGGTACTTTCAGTCTTGCATGAACCAGCAGATGGGAGCTTTCTCTGTCTACTTCTCTTTCTCTCTCTCAAATAAATGAAAAAAAAAAGTAATAAAATATAATGTGAAAGATGAATTGTAATGTCCCTGCTCCACTACTTTTAAGGAATATGCAGTTGGCCTTCGAGTAACCTGGAACTGCCAGGCCCAGCGAACTGCTCCGAGGCTCCCCACATCCAAGGCATTTTCCTGGCGCTCTTTCTTCCTCTCCTTCCCCCCTTGAGCCCTGCCAACCTCCCACTCTCCATGTCCATCCCTCTCCTTTGGCGCCCATAGTCCTCTTACTGTTTTGCCCTATTACTCCCCCTACAACCTCCTTGGATTTTTAAAAATATATTCTCTTGGGCCGGTGCTGTGGCATAGTAGGTTAAACCTCCACCAGTGACTCCAGCAGCCATATGGGTGCCAGTTCATGTCCTAGTTGCTCCTCTTCTGACCCAGCTCTCTGCTGTGGCCTGGGAAAGCAGTGGAAGATGGTCCAAGTGCTTAGGCCGCTGCACTCTCATGGAAGACCTGGAAGAAGCTCCTGGCTCCTGGCTTCGGATCAGCACAGCTCTGGCCTTTGTGGATGGAAGATCTCTCTCTCTGTCTCTCCCTCTCTCTGTCTGTAACTCTGCCTCTCAAATAACTAAATCTTTAAAATTATACCCTTTATTATAATTGAACATTACTGAAATAAAATGGCATTAAGAGAGGCTTTAAGAATGGGGTAGTGCGGCCGGCGCCGCAGCTCACTAGGCTAATCCTCCGCCTGTGGCACCGGCACTCTGGGTTCTAGTCCCAGTCGGGGCGCCGGATTCTGTCCCAGTTGCCCCTCTTCCAGGCCAGCTCTCTGCTGTGGCCCGGGAGGGCAGTGGAGGATGGCCCAAGTGCTTGGGCCCTGCACCCCATGGGAGACCAGGAGAAGCACCTGGCTCCTGCCTTTGGATCAGCGCGATGCACCGGCCACAGCGCGCTGGCCGTGGCAGCCATTGGAGGGTGAACCAACGGCAAAAGAAAGACCTTTCTCTCTGTCTCTCTCTCTCACTGTCCACTCTGCCTGTCCAAAAAAAAAAAAAAAAGAAAGAAAAGAAAAAAAATGGGGTAGTGCAAATCGCCTGCAGCTCTCCGGCTGCTGACGGATATATTCTGCTTTTTCTAAGCATAATTTTTCTTATACGATTATAACTTTCTATCTTGTTTCTCTTGCCCTCTTAGCATCATACCATAAACATCCTTTGGTGTTAGTGACTGCAATATTTCACTGAACATGCCAGAATGTAAGCGACCATTCCCTCGTTGCTGGGAATGTAAGTTGCTTCCCATTTTGATATGATCTCAATAGCTCCAGAACATATGCTTTTACGTAGAGAGGGACTTTTAATTCTTTAGCATTATTTTCTTAATCTCTTGGGATTCCAGGGTTAATGACTGTAACAATTATGTAGCTCCTGCTCCTGTATGTAAGATCACCCAGGTGTTTCCCAGAGGGATTCCAACCATTTCAGCCAACGACTGCCAGCAGCACGTGAGTGTGGCAGGCTCCCCAGAGCCCCAGCCTCCCACGGGCCCCACTCCCCTCCGCATCGGAACTCACTGATTCTAGACAACACCAGTGCACAACTCCCACCTCTGTCTGTCCCCTCCCCAAACCATGTCTGGTGGTGATGGTGTCCTCTAACTACAGGGCTCCCTGTGACTAACAGCACGTCCTTATGTGACTTCAGTTCTTGGAGCTCTTCAGAGAATGCTCACATTCACGAACCCCTCACAAAAGGAAGGACGGAATTGCTAAGTCTGCTTGTCTCTTGTGCGTGCGTGCATGCGCTCAGGTCCCTGCATGGAGACGGCAGAGCAGGGGAGAAGGAGCTGTGCTCTGTGCACCTGCTGGAGAAGACCTGGGCCTCGTGAGCGGATTGTTCCCAGTGATCAGGCAGCTTCCTGGCAAAGTTCAAGACAGCTAAGGTCCATGAAATCTCGACCTTGGGCTGCTCCCTTCCTCGCAGGTAAACGGCCGGCTCCACTCCCCTAGCCCTCCACAACGGCTCCTGTTTACCAAACCCTCATGGAGGAGTGGCACCGTTTACCTAAAGGTTAATGTTAACTTGAGGAGAAACTGACCCTGAACTTGATCTCTGGAGTTGCGAGTTGCAGGTTGTCTCTGCCCTTTCTTGAGTCCTTGCCCAAATGGTAAGAGTGAGTCATGGCTGCTTTATATCTGTCTGCCTTGGAGAGAAAACAAAACAGAATGGTAAATTCAGTTAGCGCTTGTTGCGTGAGAGGGCCCCAGGCGTGCGGAGCAGGGAGCCCTGTCCATGTCCTTAGAGGAACCGGTTTGTGTGTTGTTCTTCAGAAACACCTGGATGGCCCCTGAGACAGGTGCAACAGGGCAGACCACAGCCCTTGCCACTGCGACCATGTTCTCTGTCTGAAGCCCCCTTGCTTTCTCCTCCCCCCAGCCCTCTCCCCTCTGTTTAACCCCAGGGATGAATCCAGCTGGCTTCTCCCCAAAGGCTTCTGAAAGAGAATTCCTCTTCCAAAGGTTGCCTCCAGGGGACCTGCTTCCTGGATCTCCCCTGCAAAAATGTCCCCTTGATCCCTTGTGAGCGTGGCAGTTGTTCAATAGAAGTCATTGCCAACAACTAGAAAATTCAGATTTCTCGTAAAAATCCAGACTTTCTTTTCTTTTAGAAAAGTGTTTCCATTCCTTCATGCCAGCAATAAAGAGAGCCTCCCTATTTGTTATTTTTTAATTAATTTATTTTATTTGAAAGAGAAAGATCTT